GAGAGCAACATATTTCTTTTCCAAGGAACATATAGAAAGAAAATTAGGAATCCCAGGTTTCCCAGGGCTCAGCGTATTCTTCAAAGATATTCAGAAGACTCCATCCTACTTTCTCCCTTACCTGCCTGGCAAAGCCTCCATGCAGCTCTCTGGCCTCATCATACTTCTGTCCACCATCATCCTCTTTCCCAATAATGGATGCTGAAGCAGCACAGCAAGCACAGGCAAAAGGACCTTTCACCCTGTCCCTGCGCACCCTTTTGTGCACTGGGCCCTTCAGAGCTGACCACTGATGAGTTGATCTGTCGTAGCTGCAGGCATTTTCTCTTTTACAAGGTGTGAATGAGGCAGTGTGGTAATTTTATGCAAATCCATGTGCAGATTAAAAAATTAATCAAATTCTGAATTTTTCATTTAAAGAGATTAGTCTTGAAAAATCCCCCGTCTAATCCTCCCAGAATAGTCACTTGGAACAAACCTTCACCGCTTTGTTTTCCTCCTGGGTTCAGTGCACCTCCTGGAAATTTTTCTCATAATGCTTCTGGGAGTTTGAGCAGCGCTCTCCAGGCAAATTAAAGTTGATATATCAAATGATAGAAAAGATGTGTCAGGACATGGGAACATGGGAGTTTAAGGCAGTAAAATCTCCACTCTGTTGTACTTCATAGGTAAACTCCCATGGTAATGCACAGAACATGGAAGCGGTGAGTCTACTGGTAATTTACCCACCAAGAGGCCAGGAAAAAGTCATGTAGCAAGAAAAATGAGTAGCAAGAGACCCTTATAAAACTTGCTGTATTTGGTAGTTTACTGGTGTAACAAAGATGTAATCTGTCTTTTGGAGCTTGAGCTCAAAATTATCCTTGAACCATTGGGGTTTGATCCAGTGCCATCTCAAATCTTTCCCAAGCCCCTTGGGGATTTTGGAGTTGACCTTGCACATGGTGGGCCAGCTGCCAATCCCTGCCACACTACGGGAAAACCAAACAAGTCCCAATGACATTAAAAAATAGCTTAGATCCCTGGAGAGCTCAGTTAAGTTACCCAGCCCAGAGCATTAATGCACAGCATCTTCTGATCTTGCAGCACCTGAGGCGCCTGGGATGCGCAACTGGCTCGGTCTGCAACAAGCCCCATTGCCCCAACTTCAAGAAAACCACAAGCCTGTGATGCAAATCCTTGCAAAAACCTTCAACCACAACACCTGGAATAGCTCAGCTCTGCCCAGCGATGGCAGACTGGCCCCTAGAAGGAAATATTTTTCTGACTTTCAAGTACCTGCCATGGAGCAAGGTGCTGGCTCATTTTTCTCACTGCATGGGAGCAGCCAGCTCATTTGTTCACTGTTTTCCTCCCCAGTGTGACTCCAAGTTTATTGCTCAGACTATGCCCCCCTATGTCCACCCTTTTGGTCTCATGCCACCATCCAATTTACCTGGCAACTTACTGCATTTCTGCCCCTAGTGCTGGATCGTTTCTGTCTCCCTCTGACTTTGGCTCCTTGCCTGCAGAACTGCTTTAATTAAAAAGTTAATGAAAGGTAATGCAAACCAGCACTTGCCTGTATTTTGTCACAGTCCAGCTCCTCTCCCTCCCTCTTTCCCAGAGATGGTGAAAATAAGGAGCTGAGTTTTTGCTGCTTTTTGTTGTAAGACTTAACAGTGAAAATTTCTGCAGGCTTAGGAGGAGCCCTATGAAAAAAAAGAGCTTATAAAGGTAACGCACACAAAAAAGTATGTAGATGATGAACATTATTCATCAATGAAAGCTGAGGAAGCTTTCATTTAAAGGGGATTAATCTAAACCCCTTGCAGTCCTCCTGCTCTCTTTGGAACAGGCAATTCTTAGAATCATTTTCGCTCTAAGCTTAGTAAAAACTTTCCAAAAGACTGTCTATACCCCAAGTCCACATTATCCTGAGCAAGGACAAAGGGAGGGTGTAAAACCTGAGGCCCACTAGTGCCTATAGCATGTCACCTTGTATCCAAATGGAAGAGAGCTCATTCATCCCTGTGTGATTTCCCTGAGAAACCAAGAAACAAAGATTAGTGCATGAAGCAGTGAGTGACATCATCATAGCCAGCCAGCACTGGGAAAACGCAGGGATGCAGGGATGTAATTTCCCCTTGTGAGATATGCAGTAGCTGGCAATGACATAATTTCTAGAGGCACCATCCGTAGAGGTAGTCTGAGAGCTGCCATTTGGGTTATTTTTCTTTCCAAGGCTGCCTGTGCCTTGGTGTGGGGTGATGTTCAGTTCTCTTTAGCTTGTTTTTAAAGCCCTAGTAAAATGAGTAGGAGTTTTAGGTTTTGTTAATATCTACAGCGGATTTCATAACACTGATTTATAGCTGTTCCCTGGTGACATTTAGTACCCACTGCCTGAGATGGTATAAATAAATTACATAAAAATGGACTTGTGGCATTGTTAGCAGCACCCCCATTCCAAGGGGAGCCTCCAGTGAGCCCGCGTGTCTAATCGGAGCTGACAAGGAGCAGAGTTACACACCGAGACCTCCGAAGCTAACGAGCCTGTGCCAAATTCAGCTCGCTGTCGCCTTGGTGTAAAGTTGGATAACCTCTGACTGCAAGGGGGCTTTACACGGGCTTTACTCTGCGTTTACACCTGCGCGCTGAGATCAGCATGAGACGGTGCACGGTGAAGTCCTCGGAGGCGGTGGGAAGACGCGTGCTGCTGTGACAGGCTCTGCACCGCGCCTCGGCGGTCAAAATATCACCTCAGTCCAGAGTCCAGAAAACAGATTACGTGCCTGCCATTGTGGCGAAATGCTTTCCAGAGCCAGCGTTAGCAGTGTGTACACAAATGCCAGATGAATTCAGATGGCATTTATTTTTTTTCAGCTCCAGTAGGAGAGGATTGCTTTTAAACAGCTCGTGCCTGCTGTGTCGTGTCTGGAGCTGGAGCTGAACGGAGCCGCCGGGAAGGCACATGTGACAGGAGCCGCAGTTGCAGGTCTGGTTGTGCTCAATTCCCCTGGTCTTCAGGGTCAGCCGTGCACACAAACATCAAGGCAGAGACAGAGCTTGTTAAAAGCTTTGGGGCTTTATTTTCTTAAACTCCCCTGGCTCCATTTAAGCCTTTTTTCCTCCAACTACTTCTGCAAACACCGTTCGGCAGCTCAGCCGAGCTGACCTGGGGCGTGGTGCACCTCTGTTTTGTAACACCTTCCTCTGACTGCACTGAGCTGCCCGGTGAGTCGGGGACCTGCTGGGACCAGAGATGCTAATCTCAGTTCCCGAGAGGTGTGCCGCTGACTTCACTGCTGGTGGTTACTCTGGCCCTCATTGTGAGAGGGCTAAGGCTCAGTGGTTTAAACTGCTGGAGGCATCAGAGTCTAGTAACAAAGCGGTCAGGACACCCTGTCTTTTATTCTTACCTCTCCTCGTGGTTGAAAAGCCAGCCCTTTGGACCAGTAGGTAAAGGGACTATAGATAAGGAGTTTATCTGCCTTGGGTGTTGCCTTTAAAATCTGTTTTTTTCTGAGCGCAGAATCATTTACAGTTAGCCTCAATGATCATAAGGGTCTTTTCCAACTTAAATGTTCTTGGATTTTTTTCTCTAGCAAACCTATGGTTAAACCTCCATATAGTGTTTTACCTGCAAGTCCCTTGCCCAGTAGATTTCAGAGTGTGCCCGAGTTTCATTGCCTGACAAAGTGCCTCTGTAGAGGTTTTCACAGAGTCTTTGGGTCCTGCAGCAAAATAAGGCAGATTCAGACCCAGAGGAGCTGTTGGGAAGGTTCTCTAGCTTAATAATTAACACCTTGCAATGCTATGGGAGCGTTAGGAGAAGGAGACCTCTGGACTCGTGAGCTCACGCAGAAGAAGCCAGCCACTGGCCTTGCACTGAAACCCATCCATAAGAGAGAGAGTTAACTCTCTCAGTAATGTGAACGAGTCTGTGATCAAGTGTATTGCCAGGGCTGCTTCAGCCTCCTGGCACGCTGCCTTAATTGCCTGCACTGTAATTGCCATGAGCGGGAGAGATGCAGATCACAAGGATCTTTGATCCTGAGAAACCAGCAGTGAATGTGCTGCCAGTTAACAGAAGGAAGGAGAAATGCTGGGAGGGAATAAATGCATGGGTGCTGGCAGGGGCTGCCTTTCCTCTGTCAAGACAAGCATCTGCCCTTGAGCAGCTGAGATCTTTCAGTCCACATGCAGATCTGCTCTGTATAATGCTAATACTTAGTGGAGACTGGCTCAGATGGGCTTTCACAGACAGAGCTGGCAACTTTGCTTGGATCTGAAGTCTTATTTGGGCTCTATGTGTGATTTTAATGGATAAAGATAGGACTAAAATATAAAGGTGAATGAAACCTTGTGTTAATTTGCTGTTTGGTGGGGAAACCTCGTTACTGGTCTCTATGGCCACCAACAGCAAGGGATCAAGCAGCCAACAAGCCTGTTGTTTCTCCTAAGCCCATGCCCGATGCTGGAGGGACACACGGGCCAACATGCAGCCAGAGAATGAGATCAGCATTTGGCTAGCACAGGGAAGGGAGTTAATGTAGAGAAAAGCTGTTCCCCACGGACACCCTACTCTCTCCAGGACAGAGAACAGCTTCCACAGTTTGGAAGGGCGTCAGTCACTGTGCAAATAGAAATGATGCCTTGCCAGTGGCAAAACTATGGTGGTGGAGAAGCTGGCTGACAGGGCTCACCTTCCCTGCAG